TCATGGGATGATTGTAGGATGTTTGAACGCTGGGAGAGAACAGCATGGGATCAATTGGAAACATGATTGCTTTCAATTAATCAGACCCATGTAGGATCAATAGCTGTTTAGATACTAGTGAAATCTACCCCTTCAGTGTGACAGACAAAACTGGTTAACTGTTGCTTTTATAGTCCTCTTAAATGTGAGCATTTCACAAGTCGGGTAGTAACAGTCAAAGACATAATTTGACATCTTGGGAAATACATCTCTTCACTCTCTTGCCTTTCGCTTTTTAACTTGCCTGAGTTATGAGCAGATTGAGCGTCAGCAGGTGGTTGGATAGCTTAGAATAAAGACTGGAAACAGGAATCAGCTATGGCTCTGTCAAAAGGTTAAAAAAAATCCTACCAGCACCTTTTAAAGCTCAATATTTAACAAGTTTTGAAAATTAATTTAACAATTAAAATCAAACTGGACTTAAAATTTTAATAATTTTTTTCATTTAATAGTAAGTTCTCAGTATGTGAATTATGAATGATGTTCATATGATGTTTTCCATTAAGATTCTCCAAATATATATATATATATACAGACAGGAAGCACTGGCTAATTCTGTGATTTGTAAAGGTTCTTGCCATCATTTACAACTGCAATAAAAACAGGATTACTGCACTTGATCCATAACAACCATTGCAGAGAATAAGTATATATATTAGGATAAGCTCTTGCTATCGTCACAGTGTGGAAAATAATGTGACGTGCTGTTTATTGATTTAGCCATGTAAGTCAGACAACTGCTTCCCCATTTACCCTGCAGGGCGTACACTCCATCAGCACGCTCTACAGCAAAACATCCCCTACTTCCTACTCTGCCTCTCTGTAATTGAATCATGGAAGTCTCTGTAGAAAATGCTGAGGTCCCTATACTAAGCAAATGACAAATGCTTTGCATAAAGGAGTCACACATTATAAACTTTTACTGTACTGTAAAATGCAGCGAATATCCCAAATCAGACTCATGCCGTATCTCTCTGCCATGTGTTTGATGCCCAACGATCTAATGGAACTATTAAACTAAACTAAATTAGCTGGATGGGAAGGAGCTCAAATACTATAAAACAGTGTGTTAATAGTCTGTGATACTTATTGCTAAATTAAAAATATAAGACATATTTTAGGGTTTTGTAATCTAAAGTATATTGTGTCACTTTTGTGAAATAAAACAGCATTTTAATCAAGTGATACGTCAACCATATTCCACTTTACCTGTTTTACTCTGCTATAGATCCGCAATTACAGAAAAAATGTTATATCTGTTGAGTATGAGTGGAATTTCCGGTGTTTTGTTGACCATCTTGGGCGCAGTGTGGTTGCGCGGTAAGGCCAGCTTATTTACATGTGACCCAGCATGATGGACAGGACAGCCCACTGGGAGAGGGCGGCCCATAAATGTAAAGGTCACACCATGTGGCCTCAGATGGCTGTTTAGGATGTTAAAGAAAGGATGTGCGGGCTCCTCCTGGAATAACGCTTGAAATTAGAAATTCAAGTCAGGTTTTCCGAGTTGTAACACAACCACAAGGTATTTTATTCAAAGGCTCGTAACAAAGACATGTTTGTATGTGAATACAGCACAGGAAAGGGACATAGTCAACCCACATTAAGACATACAAAGTGACTTTTATTCCACCAGACACTGGTTGAAGACAATTCAAATAGTATTACAGGGAAGATTGTGTAAATTAAAACAAATATTCAGCCTTTAATATGGATTATTGTTATTATTGATTAAATATCTTTATAGAACAGCGTGAGCAGTGAGTGAGTGAACAAGTAGGACAACAATTGAACAGTCTGTGAACACCAGAGCAGCAATGTGAGATACAGCTGTCACAGCTGAATGTACAGTGACGAGCTGAGACTCCTGCACACCGACACTCGCAGCCATGACAACGTTTTTCTGGTCGCCATCTTGTGCACCTGCCGTATATGAGCACTGCTATCATTTTCAGTCAGGTCTCTTTCAATGTGTATATAGTCTATGTAATGAATAGCACTGCCACTGCTCAAATGTACTAATATCCCACCTAAAAACTGCTTCTCCTTCACACCTTAAAACACCTGGGAACTGATTTCCTTTCTATTTCCTCTCTTCAAACTAATGCAGCAATCATAAGAAATTAAAAGAGGAGAGCAGAGACAGGATGATGTAAACTGGATGATGGATTTACATTCTTGTAAATGTGTATTAAGGAAGTCATTCATTTTGCCGTGACAACTTCTTTCACTTCCATCTGAAACAAGAGTCCAGTATTTAAAGTCCGTTCTCTGGCCTTCTGTCTCAGATGACTGTGGAAGATTGTTTTGAACTGAGGCGTCTGGCTCTGCGTCGGTATGTATCCACTGTGCTGTCAGAGAGTCAGTCCAGGAGGCCGTCGTCCCGCCAGCCTGCTGCATAGACATGCTTTTGTTGATGAGCTCAAGTCCAGCTCACACGCCGCATACCGGATTCCATCGACAACCTATCTCAGAATGCTGCACCTACTGGTAATCTTGGCAAACCCTTGATCTGTGCAAACTGTGGGCTGCTCAATAGTCTGACAAAGGAATGTACTACATTGTTTACTTTTACAGCACACAACACTGATTTGTTCATTCAAACAGAATAACTAGTTACTTCAATGGATTAAGTTGTGGTTTACACCATTTCAACTTGCATCCTACCTGAGGAATTTAAAGGCATTCTTTTTACATAGTAGACAAAAGTCTGGTTTATAACAGTTTATTTTAGCCTGTCTTCTAATTTCCCAAACATATTTTTCTGAAACTTTCTGTCTTTTGTTAAAGACTCTCTTTAGTTGTCATTGAAAGGATTAGACAGTAAATTCTTTGGTGTTTGCTTCCCAGAATCAACATGGAGACTTAACAGAATCATCAGTGCTGTCACACCTTTCTGATGACTTTCTACTTCTGGAATTGGTATTTTTGTAAGTGTTGTTTTTGTCTCACAGTGGCCATGGATGCTCATGATGACAGCTGGTGCTTTTAAATACTTTAGCAAACTACTGTTGCTGTCCTTTCTGTGGCTTACAGAAAGGCACTTCACCAGAGGGTGCATAGGTCCCTATTATATTTATGTACAGTGACAAAAATAAATGCTAAGGGCTTAAAGCTTAAGAAGATATATGTTCGGTGACTGGTGTATTTCAACAACTGTCACCAGAGTGTAGCAAAGCATAAATACATGCATATGTAAATTTACAGACTAGTACTTTTAGGGCAATTGTTCATTAGCTTGACTACCCTGACAGGGAGGAAAGAGGGCAGGCTTGACTAGAGACATAGAGTGAGTACATTGCAAAACATGACACCATTTAATGAAAAAAGAAATCAACAAGTAATTCAATATATATGTGTTTTTCAACTTTGTGACTTATACCTGGGAGTTCAGGGCTTAAAACTATGAGCTGACCAAGTACATACTAACACTTACTGGACATTAACTAAACGGATCACATCATAGTGTAAAAAGAAACACGGTTAACATAGCATCATATTTAGTTCTTGTTCTGGTTCTCCTGCACTACATTTGAAGCAACTCTCCAAAAACCCTCCACTCTTCTAGCATGGATAAAGTTACTATGAGCATTAACAGTGTTTCATGAGTTTGTTAATGACAATAAAAAATGAAATTGCTATATTCAATTGAAATTAGTATTGTGCAGTTTGATTCAATGCTCTGTGATATGTTTAATCTTATACAAGTATTCAATGATGAACACAATTGGGAGTGGTAAAAACCGCACAATAATGTAATCACCCTCTGATTTCTCAGCACACAATGTCATCATTGTGACTCATGGCCAAGTGACACTGCATCTGAGGTCTTATACATCCATTGTCTGAGCACTGGAGTGGACTTCAGATCATCAAATGTTAGATTCAGCTAAAACTGAACTACTAATAATAAGTTAAATCTTTCCGAATTGTTTTCAAAACAAGAGATAACCTAGAAGTACGTTAAAAGGCAGGCTGTCAATGTCGCTTCACTGTATTTGTCAATTTCTTCAAATTGCCACCTCCCTTCCTGTTTAGATTCTGTTCCACTAAAGTTTATTTCATCAGCCCTCATGAACTTGTCGGGAATATGATACTAGGTTTTTCTCTGTGTGTACATGCATATTGTTATTGATGATCACCTCCTAATTTTGTTAGCATTTAGCAGCCACAGCTCCCATTAGCCATTGAGGCAGTATCAACTTTCCTTTTTAATTATATGTTATGCTTAATGCTAACAAGATAATTATCATTTTAAAAATAACTAGGTTCTACAATCTATCAAAGTAGACAGCACACTGTGGACAGAAAACCAGGATATCATGTTTGAGCTTCACAAAAAGGTGGGCTAGGGCGAGCGCTGCACAACAGTAGCTAGTTTTCAAATCCCTGTTTGCTGATTTTCATCCTGTGAATGCTGCCGCTCTTCCTCACTACAGTTTGTTCACCATAATACATATTAAATACATTTTCAGTTCGTCTTTTAGCTATAATCTGGCTTCTTTATTACAGTTTTTTGTGTCAAAAGTGCTAATTCTCAGCCCACGTTTAAAACCACTCAACCTAACAAAGTGACTCCACTGTAGCAGTGTTTAAAACACTACACATATAACTTTGTTTAGCTAAATCATGCACGCAACGGCACAATTTTAGCTTTATCAGCCGCCATATTGGAGCTGGACACTGCAGGGATGTGGACGACACGCCGGTTGCCATGACAGCGGCATCATTTAAAACGACTGTGTCAACTGTTGGACATTTTCTGTGAACCCTACAGCCTCAGTACGTTCATTACTGTGCTTGCCTGTAACACCCCCGCCCCCAGCCCTTCAACCGCCGTCCTCCCCCTCTCCTTTTACCTCTTACGCAAAAAGCAGCGGAAGATTGTGATTTGCTGGAGTCACTCCCTCCCACTTAGGGGGTAACTTATTACGGGAGTTTGCGGGCGGAGCCGGTTTCCCTGAGAGATAAATTGTGTGTGGTACAATTGGTGGAGTCGGGTACAAAACTGTCCTTTTTCGTTTCCTGAGAGGGACGGTTAACAGTCTAGGCTAAAAGTACCCGAGCTAAACGGTTGAATCACTTAGAAAAAAAAAAAGGGGGATATTACCGGGGAAGCAACATGTCGGGAAATAAAGACAGTGACGGCGGATGGAGGAAATTTGTGTGGAATTCAGAGAAGAGCGAGTTTCTAGGACGTACGGGGATCAGTTGGTGTAAGTAGTCGATTTTAATGTATTTCACTTGAACTAACGAGCTAGCTACTGTTCATAAACGACGGCATGGAGTCAAATAAGCAGTCATGTCGCCCATTTGGCAGACGCGGGGTGGAAACTGACTGTGTTAGCGGGTATTTTTCTTCTTTTTCTTTCTCCGTTTCCTGACTACAGACACACAGCACCTGTTAGAGCTCGGTGGCTGTGACACGCTGCGTCGTGACTTCGTTTTTCAATGGAGACTGTAGGTAGAAGTTGAGCCGTAAAATCTGAATAAACTCCTTTGTGAGAGATGAAACTGGCTTATTTTAAAAAAAAAAGTTAGCCTACTGGATACGCCACAGGTCGTGTGTAGTCAAAATTAAGACTAATTAATATATACATATATATATATATGTGTGTGTGTGTGTGTTTTTAATATATGTTAACTCGCACTGTGAGTGAATGACCCCCCTTTACACGTTTGCATTGATTGTCTGATGTCAGCTTATATGATTTTATATTTAAAATAGACAATTGCTTTTATGGTTAATACATTGTAATATGAAATGGTTGCCCGAGGCGTAAACCATATCGGTCCATTCATTAATAAACGTCCTTTATGAAAAGGTCATCTTGAAGGACAGTGTGTGGTGGGCCAGAACTGAACCAAATGGTGAAAGTTGGGGCAGGTTTATTGTCTGCCTCACTGGACCACCTCTTTAATTTAGCCTTTCAAGGTGAGCAGAAAGGAAACAGAGGACATTTTATCCCCCCCCCCCATTAATAAACTGAATAGCTAATCTCTGGCTCCTGTGCACAGGCCCGGTTAGTCTTCCCTCCCTTTCACTCAAACCCGAGATTACTGGATCCAGCTCTAATCGTTTTACCACTGTTTTCAATACTTTTAAGACGAGGGAATGCTCGCCTAATCCGGCCAGCAGTGGTTGTTGATTTGATAGGATAACTACACGCCATTATATAGTGCTCTTTAAGATCACTAAACCGTTTTACAAATTATAAATGGCATTCTTTTTCACCCCCTCCTCCTCCTTGTGTGAAACAGCCAGGTTTGGCCAGACAGACATCGCTTGGTAACACGGTGCTGTGGAACAGATCACGACTCACATGTCTCAAGGGCCGCCCCTCTCCTTCAGCCAGTTATTTATTTTTTTATTTCCTGGAAAACAGGAGACCTTGGGTCTGCGTGTTTTTCGCCAGTTTAAAGCTCTCACCCCTCAAACCTCTGAGCTCACACAGTTCATTTCCGAGAAGAAGAAGAAGAAGAGAAAAAACAAACAAAACAAACAGTAACGCTGCCATAGTATCGCCCTCATAAGCTGGTATGTGGCAGTCAATAGCGAGTTCATAGCGAACTTACCGGAGCTGCTTAAAGGTGAAATTTAAAATCACCACACGCTAATGTTGTAGTAATATCTACCAGTCACGTAGTTACAGTGTTATGGAGCATCTATTACAGGGTTACCGTCGGTGTTAGTCGTGAGGGAGAGTGATGTCGCACCATGTAAAAAGTGAGCGATGTTGCCCTAAAAGCAACAGGTATGTCTGTGCCCTTGAGTTGCTGAAACCACCACAGCTCGTCGAGTGAAACCCCCCCACCCCCACCCCCCCCTTCTGGAAAATGTTAATTTCTTAGGTTAGACTGGGTTTTGAAATCAGCTATTTCCAATTGTGTTGATCGAAATATGGGAAAATACAAGGAAATGACGAGTGTCAGCGTTAGACAGGGCGCTCGTATCTTCACCCCCCCCCTCCCCCCGGTGTTTCTGTGTGTTCATTTCGTCGTGTTACGCCGCTGAATCTGTTGGGAGAATACACACACACCGCAGAGCTGGTGAAGCGTGGTGAGGGCTTCGACAGAAACCGTCAGTAAAAGTCTAGAGACATCAGTGTGGTGTGAATGTGGCGATGGCCCCTTCACAAGACGCTGCAGCAGTCTGGTGGGGGAGGTGCTCTCCATTCAAACTCAGCCCTTTCAACACCAGCAGCCCAGTCTCTGTGCCATTGACGTTTTGTGTTGATATCTGGCCTTTTTCTGGCCACAAAAAAAGGTGCTGTGGACCCATATCACCCACGTGTACCGACACAAAACTGATCTCCTGTCAGTATAAAGCTCATGTGATTGGCTATAATGCTCATTACAGTAGTCCTGTTCTGATTTTAACCAGTTGAGAAACAGTAAAGTAAAGTCACTAGGCCACAAAGAGAAACACTGGCTGTAACCTCCAACATCCTGGCGCACTCGTTCACCTGATCTTCAGCTGCACCCATGAGACAAAAATGTAATTTGTTTTGCAAATACTACTTGTCCATACAAAAGGTCTATTATTTCTCCGAAGGCCCATTCCTAACAAATCACCTGCAATTCTACACAACTCGTCAGCACAGGATGTGTAGAAGACAAAAGGCAATCAGTCTAGAGTTTACATCAGACAGAAATCCTGCCACCATGGCTGCAGACTTGCTCATTAGAAAATACCTCACCAGGCATTTACATTGGTAGCAGGTGTTGTGGCAACTGGTAGCCATGTTACAACACAAAATCAAGGGCATCTGTCTCCACTAAAGACATTAAACGATTATTCTGATATCTAACTCTTATTTTGAATAAGGTTAACATTTCCCTGCTTCTGCTGGGAGTTTTTTTTTTTGTTGTTGCAGTTTTGATATGAGCCACGCAGTCTCATATGCACAAGGTTCAGCATCAGAGCATCAAATAAAATGTCATGTGCTGGAAACACTGCTCACGTGTTCTAAGTAGCAAAAACTGGCGGTTTTCGAGTGAGACAAACGAATCTCCTCTCCACAGTCAACAGTCTGTGGCAGGAGATAAAGCAGTGGCGCTGAACCTGCGATCAACCCGCCAAACTGGTTTCACAGTGGCTGATTTGAAAATGTAACAGGCGGCCGGCCGAAAGACATTTTGAGGCGGTGCAACGACAACAGCAAATGCATCAGGAATGAGAACAGTGATGGTGAACTAGCCGAGAGCTGTCTGTCTGTGGTGCGGCATCAAATATGGAATGAGGTTTGGCATTGAAAGATTTGCAATATGTGGCAAGGCAGAGTAATAGTTAAGTTTTGGAATAAGAGTTATGTAAATGCATATTAAATATGTTCAATTCAATACCCATACCCAGTCCAAGAGGTGCAAGTGAAATCAGATAAACCTGTTACTGCAGAAACATGAAAGTAAAGTTAACTGTGGGCTGCTTTGAACTGGTGCAGTTGGATCAGACTATAAAGTAAATTCTGGGCTTCATTTGAGTCATATGCTGTTTCCAGAGATAATCTGATCTGAGATCATCTCAAGTGGCATTTTTACCACCACATTATGACATCTCACAGTTGTAGTACAGATACCGTATTTTATAGCTGGAGAACAAGAACAACAGGTCTAATCTAAAGGTGATAAAAAAAAAACTATCGACAAGCCACAGCACAAGCCATGTATTTCTCCCCCACTGGAATTGATTGAAACTAGCCAAACAAGAAATGCCAATTACAAGTTTCTGTCTCCAACAGTGGCACGAATAAAACCAGAGACAGAAACAATGAGGCCGTTTTGTTCATGCAAGCGAGGATAGTGTGGTTTTTTTTTTTTTTTTTGCCTAACCTGTTGTAAGTGGCGACACAGCGGGGGAAGGGTCCGCTGTGACAGGCATGACCAGTGACTCATCTTGTTCTACTGGAATCGCAGCCCTCCTGCTGTTGCATAATTGGGTGAAGTTTTGAATTGGGAGAAGAAGAAAAAAACCTGTCATTGTTCTAAAATGGCTTTGGTGATGAGAAAAGAAAGGGATCATACTGAGTGGAAGCAGTTTGTGGAGGATCTATTTAATACAATTCCCAAGGTTTTTTCTTTTCTTCTGGAGGTTTTGTCCAAATTTTGCTCCTGAATGCTAACAGTTGTTTAAAGACTCAGGACAATAAACCAAGTGTTTTTCTGTGAAAATAAAAGCCTTACTCATTAAATCCAACATCACCTGATATATTCACTTCATTTCAAGCTGGTCTTATTCTATGATGTTTAATCAAAAGATCTCAAAATCGTAAAAAAAATAAATAAATAAATGTCCAAGGTGGGATTTAAATGCATTGATTTGACCGACCAACATTGACTTCTTTACAATGATGTAAAATTGAGAAAAACAGCAAATTCTCATTCTTGAGAGGCTGAAATCAGAAAATGATTATTATTTTTGTTTCATACATGAATGAAACAATACTGAAAAATCAGTAAATGTACTTCTTCTTCAGTGTTAATTATTAAAATTGATATTTATGACATTTACTTTTCCCCCCTACAGTTAAGATCTTCTTGTTCTACGTGATATTCTACGGATGCTTGGCTGGAATTTTCATTGGGACCATTCAGGCGTTGCTGCTTACGTTAAGCAACTACAAACCCACCTATCAGGACAGAGTTGCTCCCCCAGGTAAACATTTTCCAAAACCTTTTTTTTTTTCTTTTCTTCTTGCTTTTGCCTTTTCAAACTGATCTGCTGGATGTTTCATCAGCTCAAAAGTTAAACCAACGAAAGAATGGACACTGATCAGAAAAGTTTTAGGCTGAGTGTCTGAGATAATGTGGCTGTATGTCTTGTCTTGTGTGATTAAAAATAACTGTTGGGGTGTGTCTGTAAGCTGTTACTCTATCAGGAGTCTCTCTGACCTTAGATAGGTTCAGCCATTTTGTCCTTCACTCCTCTCAGCCAGTCAATGTTTCCCCCCTCAGGCTACAGGGGAACTGTTGAAGCTTACACCCATTGTAACAAAAAGAATTCATGTGTGCTATGATTATGCGTCACAGCCTACATGTTTACATATGCATGTGTGGCAGCCAGAGTTTGTTAGTTTATTTATTAAAAAAGATTTGGTTTTGCCTCAGCTCAGAGGCCTCTAAGCTTGTTTTGCTGGAGAAAAATTCTAATCTGTAATCTTTTGAGAACAACACCATCAAACACTGCCACAGTCATACTATGAGCGTTTCGAAATTTCCTGCAAGCTTGGAGACGGAGTAGATTTTTTTTTTTAAAGTGCCCAGCCTCGACTTGTTTGCACAGCACATGCTCTGCCCTTGGCGGTATTTTTAGCAGCCAGTGTAAATGAGTGGCTCCATGCACACGGGTTAGTTTGCCTGCCGTTTTGTCTGTCAGCCGTCCACGGCTGTTGACAATCAAAGAGTAGCCCGGCAAAGCAACAAAGTAAGTGTGGAGTGCTTTGAGCTGAAGTGAGTTTCCAGTAGTGGCATGATAAAGGAAGCAGAGAGTGGTTAGATTTTTTTTTTTTTTTTTTTTTTTTTTTTCTCAGAGCCCGCCTCTCACTCTGAGGCTAAAAGTTTCCATTGTGAGAGAGACACACACGTGAGAGTGGATGGGTGGGGACAGGGGGATTGGTGAACTTTCACAAGCCACCACTGAAATTGTAATGACTAAATGTTAGTTCCCTCTCTCTCTGCTGCACACACAACTCCAGTCCTGCTCTTAACTAAAGCAACAAATAAACAAATCCACCAGTGAAGCTGGAAAAAGGTTCACAAATGTCTCGTTTCCTTTCACTCCCTGTACCCATCTCATTCTCCTCATGCCACGCCTCACTGAGGCCTTGTGCACAAGGTCTGTGGAAAATTACTGCTATAAAGAGCTGACAGAGACCATCTGAGGAAATCCCCAAGACCCTACATTGTGTTGTCCTAAGATAATAGACAGGGACTCTCTCTGGGCCCCACAAAGAATAGCTTGCATGACACACAGTGTGGCTTCTGTCAGGAAACTCACTTCTTTCCACAAACAAAAGAAGTTGTAAATTCTTTCTCAGTTGTTGTATTTAATTCTCTTTTAATCAATACATTACCCTTTATTTTATAATATTTTATCAATCAACGTTCTGTTTTCAGGTCTGTCACACACCCCACGCTCAGAGAAATCAGAAATTTCTTACAAGAGGTCTGATGAAAATTCATTTAAGAAGTACATCGACAGCATGGATAAGTTCCTTCAACAGTATGATGATGGTGGCCAGACTGAACAAATGAAATTTGAAGACTGTGGAGGCAAGTATAAGCCAATCATCAATCAGGGATTGTCATACTCTCTGGCTGATCCCTGATGGGTATGTAAAAATCATCAATCAAGATTTGTCACTCATATGTACAGTATCTAGATCCATTAACGAATACATTCTCACAACAAACAGCAGCCTAATATTAATTATCCTAACTTCATGTTGATACAAGTAAGAATGTGCTTGAAAAAAATGGTCTAATGTGTCTTTCTTTATCTCTTGCAGACACTCCTCAGCCATACAAAGAACGTGGAAGTGTGGAAACTGACGTGGGACAGAGGTCAGCCTGCCGTTTCAGCAGGTCCTTGCTTGGCATTTGCTCAGGGATCACTGATAAAACTTATGGCTTTAAGGATGGAAGGCCCTGCATTATTGTCAAGCTCAACAGGATCGTCAACTTCAGACCAAGGGTAAGTGTTTTTAGCATTCACACTGAAATAGAAGGTAGAGTTTGGAATTAAATGAATGAACATGTTCTACAGGGCATGGTGTTGGAAAGTGAGCTCAACAGACTTCTGCTCCTCATCTGTTTGAGGCTAGTAGCATGAGGCTACATTAGCCGCTACTAGCATAATGACTTTCGCATCAACCTCCAACTTGTAAATAAGAATCTGAGACATTGCGAATTACTGACACCGACGAAACCTCCCGCTTGGTGAAGAGAAAAACAGACATGCACAGATGCACCACCGCTGGCAGCTATATAAAGATAAAATCCAACATCGACACCGATACAGCGATCGACTCATTTTACAGGAGTTCTTTGTGTCTTGTTTAACTTGGTCATGAACAACCACATAACACAAAAAAAAGAAGCTAATTCAGGCTGTTTATCCGAACACCGGGGCTGACCCTGTCGGAATAATGCATGGACACCACAAACTGTGGCTAGAGTTGCACTGTGGGTAATGTAATTTTCAGCAACTTTTACACAGACAGATCTTGATATATTGCCGTTAAGAAGACTCCTCGTTACGCTGCCTTTGTCGCGCGCCCGTGTTCCGCACTCAGAGGCGTGACGTGTAACACAACAGCGTCAGCATCCTACCTGCTCGCCCTTTTACACAGATGTCGATCCGCCTCTGCTGTCAGCATAAAGGCGGAACAACACTACCCCCACACCCACCCACACACACACACACACACACACACACACACCCACCCACACACATTCCACGTTCGTAGTTTTTACACAGAACAGAGAGGAGGAATAACAACCCACATTCCACAAAGTGACCATGTTCAGCGTTAGGAAACTTGTCACATTTAAGGTGGCGGCATACTTCAGTACTGTTCTCAATAATAAACTCAAACCACACTAAGCTGCATGCAAGTTGCAAAATGTAAAACCACTTATAGCAACAGCAGGTTCTGCTGGGGATCGAACCTAGCGTAACCGTCTGCTCAGGATGTTGTTCATCCACCACTCTCTCTTTTGTTAGGCTCCTGCTGACAATCAGTCACTCCCGGAGGCTCTGCAGGGAAAACTTCCGCCCAACCTGATCCCCATTCACTGCAAAAATAAGGTACGTTTGATTTGACAGCGTCTGGCCTCGATGTATTAGCACTCATATACTTGTCTTCAGCATAATGTTGAAAATGGGTTCGATTCTAAATGAAACTCTGCCATCGTGTTTGCAGAGAGAAGAGGATGCAAGCAAAATTGGAGAGATCAAGTACTTTGGCATGGGCGAAGGCTTTCCTCTCCAGTACTACCCGTACTACGGCAAACTGCTGCACCCTCAGTACCTGCAGCCTCTGGTGGCCATTCAGTTTTCCAACCTCACCCTGGACGAGGAGCTCCGCATCGAGTGCAAAGCATATGGAGCGAACATTGACTACAGCGAGAAAGACCGCTATCAAGGACGTTTTGATGTTAAGATCACAATCAGCTCGTGACCTCAGCCATGACGAGCACTCTCATTTTAAAAACAAATAAAATGTAGAGAGAATTAAAGAGTTCAGATAAACACCACTAGTCTTTGAACATTCATAATATACAGGACCTACGCTTAATCCGTGTGCTTTACACTAGCTTTTCTGTGTGTTTGTCGAGGGTTAGTATGTAAAATACAAGAGTAGCAATAGCAAATATTTATTCTACTGTAAATGAAAATATTCCTTGAGCCATGGGATGTGTTCATCTATTACTGTAAAACCGCAATTCCACTACTGACGTGTTTCTGTCCCCAAAGTATTTCATCCTAATGTGGTTTCTATATATTTTTGGAGTGTCCAGTGCTGTAGTCTAGTCCTGTTGTAATCTCTTTTGTCTTATGTCAGCTTTAGCGGTCCAAGGTGTGTGCGTGTGCGCTCGTGTCTGTGTGCAGGTGTGTTAGTTTATGTGAGTGTGTGAAGTGTCTGTTAATGTGCTCTGATTAACTGAAATACTAGCATGGTACTCTGAACCTTTAAGGCCCATGTATGAGTCAATGACTGCGCTCCATGGAATCTCTTTCTTTTTTTTTTTTTTTGATTGTTTCTCTATCCGAGTTGTTCAAGTTGACTGTGGAAGGATACATTTGTACACCTTTTCTTTGTTGTTCACCTTAGCTGTAGGATATGGTTTGATGACATTTCTGTTTCATATTCTTACATCTGTTCATTCTTAATTCATAGTGTAGAGCTTTGTGGGTCCAGCCTAGAAGACTGTCACCTCCATGGAAACAGTGGCAACTCAGTGCTTTGAAATCTGTTTTGCTGGAGACATCACATGACGTGATGCTACTTACTATTGAATGTTTTAGCCATTTTCATGGTGGAAGAATTTTATATTTATGCAGTTGTACATTTTTTTCAAAGTGTAATGTTTGAATCCAATACCAAAGTCGCTGGTCAGAAAGTTAGAGAATATCAGAGGCAATGCAGTATCCCGTGTAATAAGATGTTTAGTTGGTGTGAAAATACTTAATTCAGTGTTGAAGATCAAAACACTTGTCAGGAGTCTGCTCTTGTCACTTTATTTAATCTGCATAAGGCTGAAACAATAAACTGAAAAATGAGACAACTGTGAAGTCTTTGAGTCTGGAGTGAGCATGTTTTCTTGTTTGTATTCATCCATCCAAGATCTTGAAGAAATACTGCACCTGGAATAAGAAATGAAAATTAATTACAGCACCTACTGAATCAAAACAAAACATCAAAGTGTCAGCCAGTCCTCCCTCTCCGATAACAGAACAGTCACACAGTGAACTCTCCTCTGTACAAGCCCTTTCTTGGCCACTATGTCCCAGTCTTGGGAAAATGGCAGCTCAGTCAGTCACAGGCTAATGTTTAACAAGGAGGCATTTGTCCAGGCCACAGATCAGGAGTTTTCCTGAACAATGACGCTCGATGGGTCAGACCCACTCCCTGTTAAACAATGGTTTTGTTTCAAATTCCTCTGCCATTCTTGTTCTCCTCAAAACCAGTGTGATCTAAGGTTGCCCCAAGCCCACAGAGCAGAGTCATGAGACTCGGCTTCACAGAGTCGAGGGGGTTTTGTTCTTGGCTAAACACAAGGTAGTTATGCATGGACTGAAAGACAATGAGGAAACCTATTTGTAGGATCAGAGGCGCTACACAGATGAAATAATGTGGGTGTACTCTTCAGTACATGGAGAGTACAAGAGTGCGTGTGTCACTGAAATGCCACCCACCTCCAGAACACCATCCTCAGGGAGGTCTGTGCAGTGGACTGCGTTTTTCACTTTGTCTTTGCCATAAAGAGCACGCAATGTGGTTGGACGAAGATGCCGTGCAATTTCCTGTTGGGTGAAAACATCTGGATTGAGATTCCCTCACTAATAAAACACTGACAAAATAATTTCAGGAGCACTCAGCTCCTACGTGAAACAACAAAGATAAAGACGACGAGAGATCATTTAAAAAAACAGGTTTATACAATCATGAGTTTTGAAACAGAACATCCTGTACTGTTGTGTGTAACCAGAGTGATTACTCAGCAACTGAACATGTGATCCTGGGGAGGAAATGACAAAACACTGACACATGCAAACGTCTTACACACTGAATGTCGGGGGACAGATTACCACTGCCTCCCATTTACATTTCATGATGTAAGAAATGTCTAAGTCTCTTGCTATAATACCACAACAGGTACTATCTCCTTCAGTTCTACTAGGATTACTACATGATTACCATGTTTTTATTCCATATTCCAGATTAGTTTTATGAGTATATTTAATGATTTTCTGGAGTTTGTAACTCTTAAAAACTACATGTGCCACCACCCTCCACACAGTTCCACATTTCTGAAAGCTGTCAAGACAAAATGTCCAAATCTTCTCCGATGTTCTCATCACTGCACACTAAAAAATAAGGTATGGAGACATTTTATTTAACGGCTTAGCACAGCTCCTTTGTGTTGCTCACAAACGGTTAGCACTTATTCTCCAGGCAGCAGCTTAGTCTTGAGCGCCTGTCTATTTCCTTTCAACATGAGACACTCCCAAGGTCAAAGCCAGGCTTCCTTGCCCTTTGCTACTCTGTGCCGGGAAACACAACCCTCCCACAGGGTCCACCATCAGGGGAGGGACAATATGGGAATAATTAATTCACTGAGATGACTACTAACTCTAAAGGTTATGTAACATATACTTGTGTAATGTTTAATACATTGGGAAAAAGCAAACCATGTGATATTTCGCTCTAATAAAAAAGTTTTTTTCTTTAATGAGTATAAAGGCCACCATCAAGGAAAATACTGTAACTCTCAACTGGCCTCCTGTTTATGACAGATTCAATTATACAAGATAGAAATACATCTTTATAACACCACCAAAGGTTGGCTTTGGCTTTGGCTTTGGCCTTGGCTTTGTCTTTGTCTTTGTCTTTGTCTTTGTTTTGTAAAGTAAATAATCTGGCACTGGCTTGCGGCAGTGGAACATTTCCTATGACAAGGTCTTTATCCTGCAGTGGTTAATGAGGGCGCACACAAAAGGCAGGAATAAGTTTCAAGGTCGTAAATCAACGTACCCTTCTCCTCAAAGCCGCTCACCGTCTTTTAAAGCTAAAAAACATGGGACAAACGAGTCTCCTGGTTTAAATGACTGTACTATACAACACTGAAGTGAGTATGAAAGAAAAAAAAAATGTTCCAAGGTTCAAGGATCATGGGAACTGTAGATCACCAGGGAACAGTGGCTCCACTGAGTTATATTACACTTTTTTTCCAAAGCGTGTTGTATTTTATTACGTACACATTGTCAAATGTTAAATTAGGAAAATTATTATGGAGCATTTGACTATTATAGTGCCACGTATATACAAAGCCTGAACACTTTTTTTTTCAAATATGTGCCACTCTGAAAATGACTGACCTGATAACTTTCAGTGATGGCTGCTGCTCACTGGACAGACAGAACCAGGAAATTATAAAAACAAATCATGCACAGGTTCGGGATCTAAAGGCCTACATTTAAGACACTATATGGTACTGGTTTTGTGAAAAATGAAACCTGCAGGTACTTGAACAGTGCAAACACATGCAAGGTGACTGATTACAGACACAATGAAAAGCGACAGTATCTATGAGCCGATTATTGCCGGCATTAGCATTTAGCTCAAAGCACTGCTGCGTCTACGTACAGCCTTACAGAGCTGAGAGCATGGCTGCTAGTCTTGCTCTGCCAATTCAGTGTCATTATCAGTGATGAGCCGCAGAGGCCAAACAGTGAGGTGTTACAACTATCTTGATAAATCGTGGTATTGCAGTCCAGTGAAAGTGGTGAACAAAGCAAACAAGAAGAAACAGTAGCAGCACTACTGGTCTGGTTGTTCAGTTGTGAAACATCTCAGACTCTCAGAATAAGAACACCAGTCTCTACAATCTCAGTTTGTGTGTCAGGAAACTAAATACAGCCTCCTGTGCAGAACTGTCTACAACATGGATCTGACCAGGTAGCTGCATGTCATTTACGTACCACATGACACATGAGCCTGAAGCCAAGGATGGCAAAGGGGAAATTAGGGGGAGATCTACCTAGAGATAAAAGAATTCTTTGCGAAGCGCCGTCCTCTGTAATTGCATTAGCTACCCATGAGTGACCTGCTGTCAGAGTTTAATTTGATTTTAATGGGTCCCATAGTGTGCTAGACTGATGATCACGTAACAACTGCCTTCTTTTGTGGACAGTAACAGCCATGGCAGAGTGACCTGGTGGTTACGTGACCGTTCCAGAAATCAAAAAGTCTCACATCTGATCTGTTCATGCACTGCTGACTGTGCAACATTTTTTTTTTTTTTTTTTTCAAACCCACATTTCCTTTCGGGCACTGCTCCATCAAATGATTCTGCTACCACTCACACATCCATCCATACATACTAGTAAAAAAGTGAACAACTACTGGGGACATTTAAAAACTACCTAGAACTTTGACACAATGAAACAACTGAAGGTTTTGGTTGGCTCTCCAAAATAAGAGTTCTCTCTATACTTCCAAACCGAAGATATCACAAGGATTACTGCAAACAACAGACAGAAAGCAAATATGTACTTGTAGATATGTCTTGCACAAATAGTTCATGGAGCATTATTATTCATAACTCATATCTTTTTTTTATTTGATCATAAACATTTACTGTTGCTTTGTTGTGACCTTATTCCTTGTGCCTTTATTACCTCGTACGGTTTTTATTCTTTTATTACTACCACTACTACAACTCCTGCTACCGTCTGTTAGCACATCGCCTCTTTTATTTTTTATTTTTCCACATGATGACCGACCAGATAAAGAGCGAAAGAGTCTGAGCCTGTTAACGAAATGTCATACGTATACATGATGAGGCAAGAGTTGAATCTCAGTGGATTTGACAGAAGTTATAGTTTCTCTCAATCAGCAACATACTATTGCTTTAATCAGAATAAGAACATTTGAATTGTATCTTCTGTCAGTGATAAAGTGCATTAAATTTAGCACAGTGTCCACCAGGAATAGCTGATATCTTTTTCCACAAAAGCATTACATAGATACAAAATCAATATGTAAAGCATGTTTTATCTCAGCATGCGACAGGAAGCTTCGGCCTATTTGATCATATCTCACATTCATCCTCTACTGTAAGACAAAGTGAAGCAACACAGCATGTTGTGGCCGCTAGTTAGGAGCACTGACGTTTGATTACGTTGCTGATTTAAAGGAGACGTGTAAACTCCAGGCTGGGTCAGGACTGGCTCACAGACGACCGTTGTATCCGTCCACTCTGATATCAGGACACATCACAAGACAGAGCACAATCTCATGACTGAGTGAGTGCACGGCAAGGCAGCGCCGGGTGTGGAGGTGTGAATACACGATGGGCCTTTTTTTTTTTTTTGCAAGATACACAGCGCCTCGTTGAAGACCTGTTATATCTAGTGTCGCATACTTTGATGTTTCTGTTCTCTCATGTAAAATAAGCACCACAATTAAAATGATCTGCCATCAACTCTAAGATGATGAATTGTGTTTGAGGTCCATTAATCCAGCCATCCAGCTGTACAGTCACGTGTTTATTCACACAAGACCTGTGTTGTTTATAGATTAGTCTTTAGTCAACTGGAATTAATCAATAGCCTATTCTTATCACAAACAACTGACCCTTAACTATTAATAGACAGTCTGACCTCTGCATGCAGACTGTGGGTGCAGTGATTGTCCAGTCCAATCTGTCAGCCTGATAATGATGTGTGGAATGTCTTCACACACAGTGTTTAAAAAGAAAATGTACTGTACTTTGGTACTAACTCGTCAGAACAATGTTACATAGAGCCACACATGCCCTGTTGGTGACCTCATCAGATAGCCTCAAACACACTGATCTAGCTTACAACTTTTCTTCTTCTCTGAGATTTCATGGCTGCTGTGACTTTCCACTTATCTCATGTTTCAAATGACGAGGAGGAGTGCTAATGTTTAGGTTATTTGTCAGATAATACTGAGGTGAGTCTGAGGTCATGGAGTGATGAAACTGCTCGACCTCCCAGTTAGTCAGTAACGTCTGAAGCAATCAGAGAGGTTACAGACGATGAAA